GTTCTACTGTAATTTCTGAGTGATATTATTACACTTTGAGTTCTTTATTACACTGTGTGGGATCTGCAAAACTGGTAATTTTGAATTTTGGGATCGCCTTATTGAGCTGTAATTCGGTAAAAGTAGACTTTAAATTTACAAAATTCTGCACATTACTATGTCTACACAGAGTACGTTATAAAACAATATAGACATATAACACAAATAGTATATAGCAATAAGAATGTTATTTTTACACCAATATTGATTAGCTAAAAGACCAATTTACTGTATGAATTCTATTCTTCATTGCTTTCAAGTAGCATTCCATATAGTAATGGAATTCGTTCTCTATTGTGATTTCAATCTTACTGATTGGCCATTTTTTATTTAAATTCTGCAGATCTACCGATATCCCTTTTCATGCGTTCTATAGGCTATTATTTAAAGTAACAATGACCTTTATGTAAATAATATAAGTCTTCCTTTAGATAGCCTATAACGTAGTGCCTACCGTATTTTTACTTTTATTTTAGGTTTGCCATCTTCTTTATATTATGTTCTGCGGGTTTGCCTGTAGGTACAATTTGAGAACGGAAATCTATTTGTTTCATGTTTCCTTAGTATTTTTTCTTTGAAATCGACGCCGTATTTTGTTTGTTTTGAATAACAATAGACAGGGTTCCTTCACCGCGTGTTTGTCGTGTTTCTTTGTTTGTGTCAGATATTTTTCTTTTGATACCATGTTATTTCCTTCTAATGTACTGCTTGTGGCTTTGACATTGCGACAAAGTATCATAATGACATGTAATCTAGGTTCTGATTTGTGTATGTCAAAATGTTCTCCTTCTTCCTGACCCCATCCCACGGCACTTTATGTCTAGGTAATGTGTCTTCTTCCAATCTCCCTTATCAAATTTCAAATGCTATTAGTAATTCCATTTTTCCTTCATCTATCTTTAGATTAATATTAGTATGTATTGTCATCCTGTACAATTTTTTTTTCCATTATCCACAATAGTTCTACATAAACCGGGGACTGTCCTTGTGTGCATTTCCATAGTGCACAGGGATAGTCGCCGGTTTGTGTGTCCATTACATTTATATTAAAATTGTCTAAAGGGCCTCTGCGCACTTGGCTTCGTCCCCTCGTACGCCTCCCAAATGACTGGGACCCTATGGTTCTGTGAATGGTAAAGACACACATAGTAATTATTATAAGTAGTTATAATAACTCTCTATCTAGACAACAAGTTTACCTACGCTATTAAAAGGAAATCCCTGACCCCTGAACTGCTTTAAACTGTACTACAAGAGTCAATACCTTCACCCAAAGTTACGATGATAGTTAAACCGTCGTGATGCTATATTTTGCATTCACTGCATCTACCTGCATAATTTTCTTCATAAACACAATTCTGCAGTAGTAACACGAGGTTACACAATCAATTAATGCTAATTTCGCTCCAAGGAAGCCTTCATCATGCCTCCATACATTTATATTGACCTTCGTCGTAAATTTTCTTGGGTGCCTTGGCATGCAATTTCACAAATTGTTCCAACATTAACCAAAAGTATAACAATACTGATATTAAATTGGTTTTGTCGTATTATTATATCACAATTGGCTTTCTAATCATAACGAATATTTAGGTTAGTAACAGAAATAGTAACTTCTTTGAGGGAGGGAAATCACCCTCTGACTGTTCAGTACTCCCGCTTTGGATGAGGCGAGAGGCAGTGTCAGGCTCTTTACTGACAAGAAATCATCCTGTTCCAACTCCTGATTCTTGAGCCTTAGTACCATAAAGTTGTCCGCAGCTAACAAAAAGTCTCCGCAGCTGACACACTGTAATATTACCTACCGTAATGGTTAGATCTAGGGACCAAAACGTATACTTAACTCGAGATGCAAAATTATAATTGTGCACTTAATGTACACAAAAGAAATAATTTATACAGTCCATGGAATTCATACGACGCTATAAACAGAAAATTTATCAACATATTTCTCCATAATAAATATTAAAGCAAGTTTTATGAGAAAGAGTACGATGGGGGTGGGTTTTATCGTCGCTCTCGGCTCTTGATGTATAATGAAACGGATTAATAGTTTATTCTCAGCATATCAGAATACATATTCACACAATTTATTGTAACAACGATGACATAGACATTTATATAATAATATTTAATATCATGCTAAAAAAATCTATCATCATCTATCTATCTACACGCTGTATTTCATCCAAATCTGTTCAATAATTTTGTATATTACAAGAGAAAACAGTGATAGATTTTTCACAAGACATAGCATATTTTTTAGCCCAACACCGCGAAATATTGTATAGTTCCTTATTACGAAGCTTGAGCTAAAAGTGATATATTCTGACAGTTTTATATTTTTTCAATTAACTTTAATGTCAGTAATTAATATTTTTAATTAATATTAGTTAGTAGTTGTCTGTGTATAATGTAAAAGTAAAAAAAAAATAACACTTTGTTATAATAATGTCGCCTCAAACACAGAATAATACTTAAATGTTATAAAACGAGCAGTATTGCTGCATAATATTCAAGTACTCAACTGCCTCGTTGGCCAAGTGATCGCAAGTGCGACTGCCGGGCAAGGTGTCTCGGGTTTGATTCCCGGGTCAGGCAAAGTATTACTGGCTTTTAAAAATTCTCAGTAGTAGCACGGAGTCTGGAATAGTGCCCGGTATATGGCAATAGGCTCACCCCCTATTACAAAGGAACTCATAAATAAATAGTGAAAAGTGGATGTTACATTGTACGGTGGCATAATATGCACATCTGCCTACCTCTTCTGTGATAAAAGGCGTCATATTATGTTATTCTAGTACCTGCAATGGAATCTAAGTTGCAATTACAGGAAATGTAATCTGCTTCCGATACTGCTATCATGACTAAAACTATGTTGTATTTAATAATAAATTCACATAATACAGGTTCGATAAACAGTTATTACATAGTTTCATGTAAATTCACATTCAACTAGTGAATAAAATAATGTTTTCTAATCTGCACAAGATTCCTTAACTGATAACGGATATAAAGAAATTATAATATTAATCATCTCTATCTCTATACTTAGATAAACGTCGTTTATTTTTTCTCCAGGAAAATCATTCATAATACAATGTTAAGAACATACCATCACGGCTTTTATCCCTAAAAGTAGGCAGAGGTGCACATTACGGCATTAATCTTAAATATCGATTCCAAACAAAGTTGCTTCACCTTGTCAAACGCCTTACTCAGATCTCAGCACGGGAGGGGAGTTCCCCAAGGCACAAAGTTTATTATTTTTAAAATGTAACACAAATCTTCTCTAATCTTTTAAACAATGAAGTCATATACCGTTCATTTATTATTGTCCTTTACTATTGTTTAATAAACGTGACTTATTGTACTATTATTTAGATTTTGCAATTACAACTATTGTTTAATTTCACAGGCAGACAGTGTTAACCTATGTATATTAATAATGGTTCTGTTTATTAATGCGAAGGCAGCTGTATGTGTTTATGTTTATTAATCTGTACTGATACTAGGTACATAAAATGAATGTAAGGTATATGGACGACATATACCTTCAAATATACCAAAATACAATAACGCCTTTGGTTTTGCGGGTGTCCATGAGCGTCGCTGATCGCTTACCATTAGGTGACCCACCTGCTCGTTTGCCTCCTACTCCATAAAAAATGGCTAGATGGATTTGGATGAACTTTAATACATTTTTAGTCAGTTTTGTAGTGTAAAATAAGTAGCAAATTTTGATCAAAAGTAAATACAGGGATAACGTGACTTGTGTTTGATTGTACCGTCACGAGCGGGGTTGTGAGAAAAAGCTAGTTGTTTCGAAAAGTTGTTAATGGAAACCTTTGTAAATCCTTCTATTGTTAACTTGAAAGTTTATTTGAAAGTAAATTTCGCAAATAATATTTAGAGGGCTTCAGATATTTGGTATGCTAGAAAACTTATGACACTAATTTGCATAAAGGATAGGATCAATGCCTATTGCTAGTTACAGCACTTTAATGTCTACAATAACTCTTATATGGGATACCTACGCAAGTAATTTTCACACAGTTACAAATACCTAATATTGTGTTATCATTACCATCCACTACCAGTATTATCCATACCAGTATTAACATTTCTCAATCTTTAACGTCATCAATGACTAATTAAAGCTCACCAATTGTTTATCAGACCACAATCGTCTTTAATGATATCCGACTTTAAGATATACTATCGCGTAAAGCTGATCAAGTATTTGTATTTTTAAGTTTCAATAATGCATACAATTTCCTAATAAGTAATTTCCAGTTTAATATTGTGATTATTAATAAAAACCCAACTGTTTTCCTGTTACTGAAGTATTATCTAAAGTAAACCACTAAACACTTAGGTAATTCCTATAATTCCACGAACATCTGAAAGGTTCTCTTATCTAAGAATACATAATTAACAATTGCGTAGTTTAAATTTATTTGATAAGATATCTTAAGATTACGAATCTTTCGATAAAGCAAATCGGTCATTTATATGTTTTATGACATTGGTTGTGATCAATATAGAGATAAGTATAGATTATTGTGTCCAAATTCGCTACTGAGGTATTCAGATTTAAGTCTTACGGTGGGTAAGACGTTTAGAATTTGGATCAATTTAGAAATTTTAACATGAAATCAGAAACAGGTAAATGTTTGATTTTGTTGTGATTTCTGGTGTAATTTCGTAGTGGTGACATTTTCTGAATTGAATAATATAGTGAAGTGGAAGTGGCTAATAATTCGGATTTAATTAATTTTCTATGAAAATTATACGATTATTCTTATAAAGAAAAAAACAAGTCATAACTTGAAAGTGCAGTAGAGGCGGGCCAGGCAAAAACAAAAATTAACAAGAACACCTACATACTGCAACCACACTAAAATCTTAACATAGTGTCACAATATACAAAATAACTCATAATAATTCATTTGTTGCAGATGAAATTGGTGGACAAGACAACTACACTATGGCGTCGATAAATTCAAATGAAAAAAGTCCGGGGGATCCACCGGATAAAAAACTAGCAGAGGCGGATGCAGAAAAACAACCACTATCAGGAGTAAGTATTAATAAACAATATAAAACTATTAACAAAATAATAGAAATAACCAATTATGTGAAGATAAAAAAAATGTGTGAAGATTGACTTAACTGAGTTTTAAAATGACGTGGTAATAGATTTGAATTGCTATAATATTTTGACACACAAAGTCGTATAAGATAATATAATATTGCCTATGTTACTTAATCCTACTTCTCAATTAGCTGAGATGACCAATTTGTAACTAAAATATCAGTATAATTGATACAAAACCTACAAAATCATAACTGGTAGGATAAACATGTGTACCATATTGAAATAAATGAAAATAATTATAATTCATGTGTGAATAGAATACACAAAACTTTAGAGATACTGTTAACTTCTTGGAAAACAGAGACTTTTATTGTGGCTCACATAAAGTTAAGTAATACTTATTTAAAAATTCGTCAAACAGGTAAAATTTATTCAATGCATAGATAGATTAGAAGGAAATAACTAGCAAATCTATTACCACCAATCAGATCGAAATTATGATAAGTTAAAACCCAAAATCATGTGATGATAAGCCTAATTCATTTTAATAGATATAATTAAGTATATTATTTAGGGGAAAAACCATTATAGTGAATGTAGATTGGTCAGTTTATTAATTTTCATCCGACTACGGGGACGCCAAAACGATTGTTATGTATTTTTTTATTGTCCCATCAACTTCATCTAATTGTATTTTTTTCTTGTTTACCCCTCTGCTTACCCTATTGGAAGAATCCTGTGATTGTAGGTATTACTCTTTGTTATGTACCTTGTCATAATTATCGTTGCTTGCCATCAATCATTGACACTCATCATGTCCTATATTAGTGACATTAATTGTATTAGCTTTATCATCTCTCCAATCAGTACCTATTGCATGATTTACTGTATCTTTAATTGGATGAGATTTGCTTATTTTTTAATTATTATGAGTTTTGGCTAATTTATTATTTAGCATGCCCGATTTATATGTTGGTAAGTTTGTCGTTGGTTACTGGACTTCAGCAAAAGCTTATATTGCACAATGAGAGGCACAACTACAAAAGGCACTACTGGAACTATATTACAGATAGTAATTTTTAACACATTTTCCATACTCTTACACAATCAGTGTCTACTTCACCTACACAATAAAAGGAATCTAAATTATACGCAAACGAAGCCACATATAGAGAACTTATCACATATAAATTAAAACAAAATTATCAAAAATAAATAAATCGGAATCGAAGTCGATCAATCACGGAGCGATTGTTAATGACAATGTAATCTGTGACAAATATTATACTTACGATTAATTAATTAATCTTTTGCCCACGCACGATAGCCACCACATGTTTTACAGTTCAATATCAAGTTTTAGGTTAATTACCAAGTCATTAGGTTCATTTTTAAATATCTTCTTTGGGTTAATTGTCTTGCATTTCTTCAATTCATCATCATTTGACATAATTTACCACATGGACCCGACTCTTTGACGGCGTTTGACCACTATCCCGCCGAGTGGTATGATGATGCGGTCTACGATGGAGCACGTCATCCTTAAACATGGTTTATAATGCATTTGTGATATCATCTTTTGCATTGCAGGGTGGACTTAGGCTATGGATCGTAAGCGATATACAAAACCGACTTACAACTTAATGCAACGTATAGTCGTGAGAAAATAAAATCACATTATCTATCGTTGTTTTTCCTGCTATCTGATAATCTCACCTTGTTCAGTGCCATAAAAAGCATGTAATAGTAATTACTAATTAGCATTGGTACTTATATACCTAATTATTGAGTGGCTGGCAATGATAAGAACTAATTAAGTAATGCGCCTTTAAGATGCGTTATCAACACTTAAGATTTTATTGATTATGGAATAACATAGAGGAGATAAGTGGTGAAGAACGGATAATATTTACGTTTTCATAACTTAGAAGACACTAGGTCTTAAACTATAAATTACTATAATCTTCAAAGGGATATGCAGACATGTACATCTACAATGTAACACCCTTCTTTTCACGAGCTATGTTATGGGTCCTAGGAAATCACCCGGGGGAAACCTATACCTATACACCGCGAACATAGTGCCTTACTTCGTATATTTTATCAAAATATTTCAATAACACTAATGAGCAATATTATATGAAACTTATTGGAGGATAATTTGTATTGTATTGTTTAGAAATCAGAACTCTGGTAATAATCCCTAAACAATTAGAACGTCGATTGCAATAAACAGGCTCAAACTAATCCGTTTGCTATCTCGATTGATATGAATGTGCGTACATTATATATCTGATGTATTACGTATTATATTGGATTTAGATACTAACAAATCGTTCCGGCTCGGCACGGGTGCAATTTGATAAATATTTGCTGGAGAATCTTCCTTAGAAACTATTCTTTTCTCAACCTTACTAGGCGGGTTGGTTGGTTGGTCAAACACTGATTTATTGTATAAAATAGAAAGTAAAACAGTGAAGATTTTATCCAAATATCTAAACTGATACTGTAAATTCGGTTTTGTTACATCTTTATGCTTTATCTACTAAGAAAATCTTAAAATTATGGAACCTTATATTTGAGCAAAACGACAAAGGTCGACTACATGAGGTCCTATAAGTATAGAAACCTTAATTAAAAGTGCCTAACATGAAAAAAATAGAGAAAGAAAAACATGTGTACCCTATAAAAACAAGAAATAATTACAAACTAATAAACTGCAGAAGTAATAGACATTGAAATTATACCCACTTTCATAAATCATCATACGGGCTATTGTCCATATAAATATAAATTAATAATTATGACGACCCTGTGCTAAAAAAGTAATAACACAATTGACATTGCAATCGACTTTAGTGTACTCGAGATAATAGTGTCTTTATTGTGAAAGATATTTATATAAGTAGTGGCTGATTGAATTGAAGAAAAATGTTGAATTATGTTTGAGACATAATCTTGGCTCTGGATGATTCTGTGCCAAAAATTTGACGAAGGATCTGACCATGAAGCACTTCGATCATACTTCATGGATCTGACCCTAAAAACAAATGACAAACGTTTCTTCGTAAAAGACTGATGTTTAGTCGAATCTAATTAAGCCCAAATGCCGATAATAATTGACTAAAAAGCCTTTGGAATATTAAGATCAATGGTAGAATTTAGAAATGGAAGTAGTAACATATTATCAGGCATACCGTTTCGAATAGCTGGTGTTTCAACCACCAAATAGCTGACTGTAGTTGATTGGAATAAAACTGAAAGATGTCCCAATTGTACAATCATATCTAACTGTATTACAACAGTCTCAGAACAAGTCCAGTCCAGTGCTGAAGTGTAAAGGAGCCATAGTAATGATCATGAGCAAGACACCTAATATTGTTTTTGGAAAACAATAATGAACTTCATACGTGCCGTTTCTACCATAGCGGTTTTTAATCCAGCTTGACATCTGTCTATTTGACAACCTTTTGTCGTTTTTGTAAACATCATTTTATCATTTTGGTAACTTATTTTTTTCGAAAATGTAGTGTTTATATTTTTAGCAATTTTACTAGTACACCGCTACATCAGGCCCGCCTGGGCCCATCAGAGGAGGCGTCGTTTACCTCATGAAAAGCACGAATTAGATTCATCACAGGCTTTTTGGGTAATAGTATTATTTCTTTAAATAATGCCTTAGTTATCAACGATTACAGTGGTTTTCAAACATAAACCGACTTTGAAGACTTAATTAAGGAAATATTAAGCTTAAAATGAGATTACTGAAGCTTCCTCATACTTTTTATCACTATTAAACCATCTGTTGTAATCTTATAAGGTAAATTGATTGTTATGTCTGTAATTTCGTGTAATTTTGTACTTGTGGGAGTCATTTTCATATTTAATATCACTTGTGCTTCATTATCATTAGTATCTAAAGCTACATAAGCCATGACGTTCTAAATACAACTGACCGAATTGAAACCAAGGTCAAAAGGGATATTTACTATGAAAAATGTAATATTATCTGTATTATAGTAATCTAAACCATTGACCTATTTCTGCCTTTTAGAACATGTATCATAGAATTTATATTAAAGGCCCGTAGCTTAACTTCGAGGGTTATATGTGTTAAACTGTCAAACACCAAGCGGTCACCGGTGACCGCGACCTATTGTTCTTTAATTGTGTCTATAAAACCGGTACTCGACGAGTTAAGTCTACTGAACGATTATACGAATTTTAATGCAAAACAACGCTTTATCTGTAAAAAATACTTAGACTGAATGATTCATTGAATATGTATCAATCAATCGTTGAACTGCTCGAGATAATTATAATATAAGGCTTACTCACTTGCAATCTACTGCTGTTTTCTTTTTGCACTCTGCTTTTCTAGACCACGCTATCACTTTAACGGCTTTGAAGTTTTGTGTGAAGGGTGCTTTAGCGAAATATTTTTGATGTTCCACACCGAGTTATAGTTAAATAAGATAACACTTAGCACAATAGCCAGTACCACTTCACTGCTGGATTATAAAGTTATAAGCCTTCTCTACATAAGAAGATTTGCCATAAACACCACACTTGGCAGGGTACTCCGAATGAGTGCGTAGCCAAAATAACCTGATCTTCAATTATTGAAATTATTTTATACAGAGGATTGTCGGCATAAATTAGATAGTCTTAACTCAAATCTAACTATAGTACCTTTGTTTCAGAAGAAAGAGGAACGATGGTGGTCAACGTTGATGCAAGTGGCTGTGCCATTCTTCATTGCTGGATGTGGTACAATCGGAGCTGGATTAGTTTTGGGCCATGTCAAGGTGAGTTGGAGTTTATTTTGTGATAGTTACGATTGAAAATTGTAAAAATTCAACCGTATTTTCATACTTTAACTTTGAAAGGTTTTGTGATTACGTAATAATAAGTTCTGAAGAACTGCCTCATAGGTTTCTGATTGCCTACAGTGGTCTCACGTTCGCACGTGTATATGTTAAGATGAAAGAAAGATAAAAACATATAAATGCCTACAACTAAAGATGATGACACTAAAGCAGTATATTTAAAGCATTACAAGAGGCAAGGCATTACGTGAGCGGCCACTGTCAAATAGATACCACGATGGCGCGATATTGATGTCAAAATGACAAGATCAAATCAGTAACATTATCGGCAAATCACAGTACCTATCTTTGAAGTGTCTGCCTAAATAGTTTAGGTAAATGAAAATAATAAAATATCTATCGATGGATATATCTATCAATTGAGTATCTATATTTTTGTAGGTATCTACAGTTGGGTAGCTATCATCGATTTTTGATACAAATCATATCACGTTTTTGAGACATCCTTTTTAATTATCTTTGATAAACTTTATTTTTGGTGTTGCACGTGTGTTTTTATGCTAATTATTATCAGTTCAAAGTTTAATTAGTAAAATTGCGTCCAGTAATTACGTGTACTTGGCAACGTTTTAATTTCTCTTTGAAGGAAGTTCAAGTTTATCAGAGAGTGTAACTATGTGTGTGTGTGTGGCTCTGCGAAATGTGTAGATTGTGTAATCCCTTAGGTAATTGGCTCTTACGAGGCCTGTAAGAAAAATTGGAAGGGGAATTGACAATGTCCCTATCATATATGATCTGACAAAAATGTATGTACACATGTTTTTCCCTTCTTGCTATTATATAATAATATCGTATTTTATGTTTTTGTTATTTGTCATTTGACAATGGTATCATTGTCACCGTAAATTAAGCTCAAATAACGTCTATTAGCTCAGTCTGAGAGCCGAAAAAAAGCTAAATGCCCATTACAGTGTATTGCACAGATTTTTTACATAGTAGTTTTTAGCAGAATACTTAATAGTTACTTTTCCGTTTCTGGTGGTCAATTCGAGGGTCACTGTTTTGTAAGATTTTAAGGTCAAATTGTTTTAATGTTTTCAATGTAAAAAGACATTGTTTCGGTGTGAATTTGCCTTTTACTTGCACATCGCAGCAACGCTTTGAGATAAAAGGAAGGTTACAGCACTATCATAATGTATCCTTTGAAGTTATGCTAGTTATTTTCATAAAGTTTTCGTAATACTTTTGCAAACTGAAAAGTAATCCTATCAAGGTTTATTAACGCAATACTAAGTATCTTTAATTATAAGAACCAAAAGTCTGACGATACCTCCTGAATAATGTCTTTCAAAATGACTTATCCCGATTGGATTCCATTCCAGACCGAATTATGATACAAGATAACTCTTTGTTCCAGGAATGGGATGTATTCGTCAACGTGTCAGCCATATTTGTTTTGGTGCCGTCTCTCTCTGGTCTTAAAGGTGAGTTGTGTTTAACTTTTACCATTATTAGTAAACTTATTGTCAAATTTTGTGTGAGTGTTGGTCATAAGATTGAGTTAATATTATTTTCAAAGAGACTGGCATTAGTGCCAATGCCAATGCCATTGACCTTTTCGTACTATTGAACCATTGTCATCCATTCCATATCGATCGCTTGACAAATGAGTCAATTTCTCCGTATTGCTTGTGTCGCAAGGTAAAGAAATCCAATTACTTTATGATTAATGAATTATTTTCAACCTTATCATCTACTTTCCCTTTTTATTCTGAATTATTGTGTTAGTTCCATATAAATCTACAATTCTCAGTTGATATGATTAACACATTTTATGCAAATAAATGTGGACGTTTGAGATAAAATAGCAAAGCTAATTCATCATCGGACTGAATGACCACTTATCTTGATTAGATCGGCCTTTTATACGTTCATGATTAGATTAAAATATTTCAAACGTTATCATCACTTGTATTTGTAGGAAAATAGTGAAATTTTAGTTTTTATCGTACATAAAATCTAATCTCGTAGGTAACACTTAAAGACCTTCCTTCCTAAAAGGCCTTCTGCCAATACAGATTGTATCAATCAAAATACACATTTGCAAATATCTTTATCTTAATATTGACTCATTTTTTTTATTACGTCAATAAGTATTACGAAAGAATATGGCTGTTTCCTGCCTTGTTGTTTTAACTACTCCTATCGATATTTTTATTTTAGCGATTATGTGTTTTGAACGTACTTTCAAATCAAATGTTATACACCTTAATTTTATTTAAAAATGTCGTGGTGGCCCGGAAGTTTTCGACGCCCGCTTCTCATGCATGAAGGTATGGGTTTGAAATCCACCAACAGCAAGTACCAAAGTGACATTTTTCAAGTTATATGTACTTTCTAAGATTATTTAGACACCACTGACAAACGGTGAAGTAAAACATTGTGAGGAAACCTAAGCTTATAATTTCGAATTATAAGTTTAAAAATTGCCAACCCGTATTGAGTAAGTGTGGTGATTAATGTTGAAATCTCCGTTGGAGAAGAGGCCTTTGGTCTGTGGCAGTTGCCAGTTGTTGTTGTTGTAATCTAATTTATTTCATCATAATTCTTTACATACTTAGACAGGTATTACTTAGTTTTAAGACAAATTTCCGTGGCAATTGGGCTTCACCCAGTTGTACAATCTCTTCTTTATGTCTTTAGGCTTAATTCATTCTGTCTCCTGTAGTAATTCACCGAGGAAAGTGGAAACCATAGTTTTTTCTTCTTCTCCTGTCTTACTTATGTCCCTGGGATGCGCCGGACTTCAGTGTTCCGGTGTTTTCATGGTTGTATCTACTGTAGATCCTGGCTTATAGGAGTTACAGCGGTTTTGGGAAGTTGTGGCGGGCTTGTCCCATTTAAAAAAAAATACTCAGACAGGTACCTACCTATTTAAATTCAATTAAACTATTTTTTTATCCGTCAATAAATGAAATATAAACTCATTTAAGAGATGCTTACTCTATTTCTTAAAATGAATGCCTATCAAAAACGGTTTACAAATTATTTCAAAAACAATTGGTTTCAAAGTTATTTTCAAAAGAATCTAACATAACATTCATAATGATTCATGGCCTCTTCATGGTACTTAATTCTGTTTCTGCAGAAGTTTCCGTGATTCAGAATAACATAGTTTAGAGATAAAAATATGTCATATACTTGAATACGAGGTAGATTGTAGTGTAATTACACACATGTAATTGCTGTGTTATCTTGGACAAAAGAAAATTGATGCAAACGTATTATTTTTGTCCTACAGTTTAATGGGTAGGAATTTGAATGTTTTATTTAACACGTAGATACGTAAATAGTGACAAAATTGATTTATTTTTACATATAGGCAACAAAACATTATATCATATCTGAATGAGGCATTCATGTGCCTATTAGGTTAAACACAGCTATCCTGGCGTCGAACTTGATCAATATTGTACCTATGTTTGCTAAATCTTACTATCCTACTAATATTATAAAGGTGAAAGTTTGTGAGAATGTATCTGTGTGGGTATATTATGCTCTGGAATAACACAGGCTAATTTTATCCCTACGGGAATGGATGCGAATCAGCTGGCAGAAGATAGTACTTAAATAATTTAAATTTGCATGTCCTGTCGAACTACTCTAAGAAGAATACCGAAAGCAACTCAGAGGTCAAAGTCAGAGCATTTATTACAATTTATCCTTAATTAGAAACTTTTAAAACGTAAATATGGAATTGTCCGTTCGTCTGTCTGTCAATAAATCTAGGCATAGTTCTTTTATGTTGCATTACACAACATCACGCCTGTCATCCCCGATGGGGTAGGCAGAGGTGCACAATACGACCCTAAATGCCACTGTACAAATGTACAATGTAACACCCACTTTATGTTGTGAATCTCATGTAATACGCCTATTGCCATATACCGGACACAAAAAGTTTCTTAAAATAATCTTAATAATAATGTAGATTGTATAATGCATTGTATAATTTTTTATGGTATAAGCCGGTAAATGAGCTGACAGATCACCTGATGGTAAGCAATCGGTGTCGCCCATAGACACATGGAACACCAGAGGCGTTACAAGTGCATTACCGGCCTTTTGGGGATTAGGAGTTTGAGGATCGTTGGGGATTCAGGAATTGGGGAGATTGGGGAAGGGGTAATTGGGTCTCCGGTAACCTCATTCACACGACGAAACAACGCAAGCGTTGCTTTACGTCGGTTTTCTGTGAGGCCGTGGTATCACTCCGGTCGAGCCGGCCCATTCACTTAGGAGAAGGTTTTAGTACACTGGTACTTATGCGATGACGCGTTTGTAAACAAAAGAACCACAAGGAAAAGAATAACAAAGTAATTCAATCAATATTGATAATTAAATATTGGTTTGCTTTATGTAATTTCCTTAAGGGAAAAAATTAAGTTCATCATTTGTGGCGTTACCCGAAAACCCATTTAGGAAACGCAAATATTGTTAATTGTTGTTTTATGAAGTTAAAGTGCTTAATCGGTTATGTTTGTTCAAATGAATTGTCGCGTTATTTCTGGGTATTATTTTAAGTTATTATTTGTTTCTAATTAGAGCGAGAATTATCACTAATAACTAATTTAGGAATGAAAGTAGAGTAACGAAAGAAGTATACAGAGCGGATATAAATGGGGTCGTCGATAGAGGGCGCCCTTGACGGACATTTCTGACCAGATTGTTATTAGCGATATATTAAAGAAAAGCCAAATTAAAAGTACCCTTAACGACTAGCATGCATGAAAAGACTGTTGAATATTGATGAAGCGAAAGAGGTATGTAAGCATCGTAGCTATTGGTGTTCCATAGCCTCCGCCTACCCCCATGGGGAACAGGTGTGAGGTTATGTAGTCTATGATCTTATTTCCATTTTATATACTATATATATATAAATCTGAAGAGTTTATTTATTTGTTTGTTTAAACGCGCTAATCCCATGAACTACTGGACCGATTTGAAAAAATATTTTAGTGTTGTATAAGTAGTCCATTTATCGAGGAAGGCTATTATACACTATAAAACACTATAAAACATCACGCCATGACGTATGTAGATAGATTGTAAGGAAAAACAGATCGATGACTTTAATACAAAAGAAAAAACCTTTGCGTGCATATAATAGATAGTCATGTACTTGTAATGGTTGTTATAAAGAAAAATACTTGCAAATGGACATATTATAGTAAACACAGGTGTTTTCTATTGTATTGCTTCTATAGTAGATTAAGTGATGGAACGTGTAAATCTTGATAAGTACTACCTAGCTATTTATTTATCAAGTAGCTTTTAGATTTATATTTTTTAACCGACTTCAAAAAAGGAGGTCCTTAATTTGACCTGTATATTTTTATTGTATGTCTCTGCGCAATTATCTCGTAATTAACTGAACCTAGTTTGTTATTACTTAGGAGAAGGTTTTAGTATATTAATTAACCGACTTCAAAAAACAACTAGGTTGAAGCTGATTTTTTTAAACGTTAATAAAAATATTGGTAATACATTCACATTTTTCCTGAATATATTTGTGATGATGTACTTTTATATACTGGCTTCAGAGCCAAAGTATAGGACAACGTTACAGAAAAAATGTATCCTACACATGTCCTATCCTGTACATATTACAGCGTGTTAGTTAGATACAGTTTTGATACATGAACAATAGAGGTACAATACAAAATTGCAAAAGCTAAAGTCGGTACTTAATTTCAGTTCATACTATGTATGTATAATATTTATGAAACAAAGCAATTTCGTTTGGTCCATTATAAGTGGCTCTTATACAGGGGAAGTCCACCCAAGTTCCTATTAAAATAAGTGTTTAGTCATACGAAATTATTTCAGCTGTGCAATTTAACATTTTTGCAAATATAACTTTGTAAACGTATACATACGTACTTAACCCTTAACTATCCAGAAAGCTTTTGTGACGTAACTGACCAGTAGTGTCCAACAGACTCATTTTATAATTATAAGGTATGATGAAAGAAAAGAAAGATATTTTGAACGAAAAACACAGTATAATGTATTTCAGTAATGTGTATTTACACTTATTTACTTATAGATATTACAATTATTATTTTTTTCAGAATATTCAGTGCATGTATTGCGTTTGCATTCAGCACAACACTGTTTCGAAGCACTTGATAATTTCGAAGGGAAAATATTACAACGCTTCTTCTTTTTTCCATTGTAGCTTGATATATTGGATTGCCAAAGATAGGGCACCAGTATTCTCTAAAATCTACACCTCCCTGTTTATTGACGCTTATAGTCAATAAAAGACCTCGGAGTACTTGCATTTCGATTTTATATCTATTGATTTCCATCGATTTTGTAAAACTCTAAGCCCTTCAGTATTGGTATATTTTACTATTATTTGTAATACGTGATCGTCGAAAAAAAAGGCTGAAACTGTCTATCGGATCTATTATAGTTTGGCCCGGAGGAGGAAGAATCACCTTATGGATACCACCGCGAATTATGTTGTGTCGAGGCGTTCGGTTTTGCCTGTTAGGTTCTGATTTCCACGTTGTTATTTCTTCCTTTATAAGTGTAAATTGAGACTTATTCTTGTAATCATCATCACTCTTACTCCATAATTGTTCATCATCGTTTTCAGATGCTGGTTCTGTGACATTACTTTCACTATCAGAACAGCTGTCAACAGCAAAATTCTCATCATCACTATCGCACTCATGGACAAAAATGTTTTCATCGTCACTTTCAACAAGGGCACGTTGTATTTCACTTTGTGTTAGTTGCCGTTTAGCCATAACATTCAATAAAAACGAATTAGAACATGACTACAGTATGACAAGAGTTTCTGATTACTGGTACGTGATACGATTACAAAAACTATGATGATAACACAAACAAAGGTCTAGCAACCGCTATTGCCTACCCGACACCATAAGATTATAGGTAAATGTAAATAAAACAATCTACCTTCACACTTGAATCAAATAAAATGATATTGTGTCTGTTGGACACTTCTGGGTTGATGAAGTACTATTTTCGTTTATTGACCAAAAATAATAAATTATTCACGTTACAAATATTTTCATTGCACATTTAGATTCGTAAAACATTGGCGATAAATTAGATAAAAGGCCAATTCATAAAAATAAAAACTTTAGTTTTTATGGAAACATAAACGCAAAATTGTGTCCGCGAGACACTTGTGGGTTGTTAAGGGTTAAATCATGTATGAGTAAATATGAAGATTTTTTCTCAATTTTAGTTTGAATCATACTACTTATTTGCTAGAAGTCATTTCACAGAAAAATAAATCTTAAGTATAAAAAATCGACTTCGTTTTTTAATCTTTATAATACTATAAATCGACATGAAGTAAAAACAAATATACCTTACATATATTTAAATTAAATTTCTAACTTGATGGAATCGGTTACTATCGATCATCACATTACCTATTGACCTATTATGAACAAAACCATTATCTAATTTGAACCAAACTCCATACGTAATCTGTAGATCAAAAAAACCTGTTGCTATAATAAAAATAAAATATCCTTTCACGCCTTCTTCATTGAATTAATTCACATTATGATATGCGAATAAATTTCATTAATTCAATTTATAATATAAAACGTGAAACGCAAAGACAATGCCAAAGAATGGCTTTTTAAATATCAAATTAACAGTATCCACCTCAAAATCTAGATATCCATATTGAAAAGAAAGACCAAGAAATACTATTGTTACGGTTATTATTTTACCTTTACATATGGTGTCTGAGAACAAAAGATGTGATACACGTCTTAATTACAAACTTAACATTGCGACTATAGACGAGGTCAGTAACATTGTTTTGAAACATTACCCTCATTTATTACCCGACTTAGCAGTGTTTATGTTAGTCAAAGGGGCGCCGCGTATGCTCACACTCGCACTTTATGACACTGCGCAATGTCGCTTTGACAGGCCGACGTGCTCGTCACGTTCGCGACCATCTTGCTTTGTTTTCGTCTACAAATGACGGAGGCACTGATTACATGTTCGACTCGGACGCACATGTACCGACCAATGTCAAAGTCAAAGCATTTATTTCAATCAATCCATAATTAGGCACTTTTGAAATGCTAAAATTGAATTGCCCGTCAATCTATCTATCAATGAAGCCAGGTGGTCCTTTCAAAGTGACATTGGGACAGTGTCAAGAACGACTGCGAGTGCCGCAGCTTCAAAGGCTTCAAACCATATCAGTAACATAGATTCGGTTACTGCTTTATCAAAGTAAACAATTCTCTAGACTGTGCTTATTTAAATAGGATCCTTAATATAAATAATTGATAAGCTTTGTTTTGCAGTCAGCGGTCATAAATCTTTATTATTTAACGAGTCTAACTGGTCTGGTGACCTTTGACTGTTCGTGTATACCTACATTCTATTAATCTACTACCTAATATTAAGCATAATGCACAACTCTGTGAAGATGTAAACTTCCTATTGATGCCTTTTGATTTTTATCTCCTCAAAAATTTCTAATCGTACCTACCCTTAGAATGCTTAAGGTATCAAGGTTGTCATGCAAAAATCAACCTTGTGGTTTTATGATGTAGTGCAACCTTCGAATGATAAGTATATTTATGGCAGAACATAAATAAAACAGATGTTATCAAATAGGGTCACTGTGTTTTTAATAAATAAATACTAAGATAAAACTACCTCGATGCAATATGCAATTTTGGACCTCCCATCGCCTATCCATCTGTATTGATTCGAGATTGATGTAGCTCTATTACCTTTACGTTATTTTAATAAATAAAGATTTAGTTGACAAATGTCTATCAATGAAAATTCTCAATCTTGGTACCTATAATTCAACTAAACATGAAACTTCAAAAAACGGTATTAAAATTTAAACATTAATACAAGACCGCCACTCGATTCCACATAAAAGTGACCAGATTACATTTTATCTATGAAATTACTACTTAGTTACAAAAATAATGCATTTTTAATCAGTACATCTGTATCAATAATTTTAAAAGATTAAGTCTGTACCTATTGTGAAATACTTGATAATGACCCAGGCATTTATTGATAACATATTAGATTAAATATTAAAAAAAGATATTAGATAAATAATATTAACATTGTTGGCAAAGTGCATCCGTACCTAAAATAATGTATGTAATAGTAGAATGTAGATATATTGCGAATTAAAAAATTAAAAACTACAATATTGCTTTACCCAGAAACCTCTAATTTAGAACATCTAGACGATAAAATTACACATCATCTTGAAGATAATGAAACAGAATAAATACCTAGTCCGTCCACAGCTTTTAAAATGTTTTAGTCCCTTGTTAACCTATTCATTTGTCATAGCACCTTGAAGTAAATAAAAAACGACACACTACTATGCTCCTAAACACCAAGAGCAAACTATGTATAATGTTTAATAACTAAGTTCAAAACCGAAGCTTAGGTAAAACTATGAGAACTGTATTCTGTGTTGGTATAAAATATTTACTAAATTATGTTTTATTTTATCTCCAGGTAATCTGGACATGTGTCTAGCGTCCAGACTGTCCACGCAGGCGAACCTTGGCAACATGTCGTCGACACGGGAAGTCATATCTATGGTCGTCGGAAACATATCACTAGTTCAGGTAAATATACAGGCCTTTTCCATTTAGAAAATCATAAGAACATGGTCTTTTAGAAGACCGTACTGAATCTAATAATGCACCTTAGAAATTTAGGCTCCAAATTAAATTTGATACTTAAAATTCATCATTTTCTTTTTACTCTTTTGCATATTCGGCAGTTATAAATATCCATGGTCTTGAAGGATCACACAACATTGTTTTTACTACTCATGATCACATCGCAAATCAAAGATGCGATAACATCGAGATTAAGAATACGTGACAAAATTCAAACTTCAATGGTCATAGAAAAGAATAGATTCACTGCGAAATGATTGACATAATTATCTAAAAACCCTAGAATTCGGAAAACCCAACAATACGTACGACAGATTCCATAATTATTATCTAAACAATCGCTTTTGTGACGTAAAACCAAGTACATTCGTACTCAAATTATTTCGCACACTTCCTTGTTAGAAAAACCGTAGAATAAATAAATATACTATAACTACATATTTAAACAAACGTAAAGTCTTTAAATGGAGTAGTATTAGAGGTTCAATTTCTTTGTATTTACACGAGTCACTATGTCAATTCAAGTGACCGCTTATATACAAACAATCTTGAGTTAAATTACTTGTTAAATTGGACTAGAATAAATGTTTGTTCGTTTATAGGAAAATGATGGAGTTTTAGATTTAATACCACATTTATTTGTGTTGCGGTTTACGAGTCTATATGATTGGATGACTTGAAGTTGTTAACAAACTGTATTGGATTTAAATACATATTGACCAATAGAAAGTGTCGTCTGTGAAAGATCCCTTTCGTCACTAAACACTTTATTACAAGGTCCTTAAGCTGAGGCTATGATTGATTTGAAATATTTATAAACAAATGTCGAAGGTTAACATCTGATCCCATCAAGTAGCACTTTTTTCATCCAACTGTTATCTTCAAAACTGTCAGTACTGGAGTGTGAACTAACTTATGGTTTATACACATTTGGAGGCCATAAGCAGTGGAATAATTACAGAATGAATTACGATGGTGTTGATGAATGACACACATTTCACATCGATCTTGGCCTAAGTGAAGTCCTATAGTACCTTATTACTTGTCGCGGAGAACCTAACGGGTTACCGGGGCTCCGGCTCAACGTGCAGAAGAAGAAACAGGATGGTTTTTAGTCAGTAAGAGTGTGACACTCCCTCCCGCCTCTCCCAGGCGGGAGCAGACGTTCGAAGAATTTCCCCCGTTGAAAAAAAATACCTTATTACTTACATTATCAAATCAGCTATACGACATCCACTGCTGATCATAGGCCTTTGCACAGAGCACTTACCGTTTGGTACTCCAAAATATCAAATCTTTATTCAAGTCTAAAATGTATTTTTCTTTCAACAGGTACAAGCGATAGTAGCAGCGACGGTGGTGTCGATATTCGCGATAATCGTGAACATTATCACCGACCGCGCCATTAACGGCTCCTACGTACTCCTGTTGATTGCCTCCGCAGTCTTCACGGCTACTACCACCTGCTTCGTTTTGGGTAAGTTGCTTTTGCTTCTTACATTTATTGCTTTTCTATTACGAGAGAAAATCTTCAAAAGGCGGCTAGCTCTTAGGGATACCTTTTCACGAATGGGCCGGCTCAACCGGAGTGATACCACTCCTGTCAGCCTCGCTTGAAACCGACATGAAACAATGTTTGCGTTGTGTTTCGTCATGTAAGTGAGGTTACAGGAGACCCAACTAACCCCACCCCCCACCCCCCTCTCCCATGGGCGACGTCGATTGCTTACCATCAGGTGATTCGTGCTCTTTTACCCATAAAACATAGTTTTTCTTCTCAAAAGGGAGTGTAGGACTTTTACTTTATTAAATCTACCCTGTTACTTAATTTCTTTTATATCTTCAAACATAAACTGTAGTATGTGACAACTATGCGTCTCGTCTACGTAAGAGGATTTGCTATATGTAATACGTTCGCCAGTCCGGTTGTAGATAGCACTTTTTTATATTTGATGGGCCGACCTTTGCCCACTATCTCGCCTGGTGATAAGCGATGACGTGTTCTGCACTTAAAGAGGTTCAGGTTTATTAGGGCCTGGTCTCTGGCAAATGTGTAGCCTTTTCCTAGGCTCTTTCACGGCAGGAGAAGTGGTGGTTTTTAATGTATTATTTTCTGCCGTCATCACGCTGCTTATAACTCGACATGTACTTTCATATAGGTGGGCAAATGGTCGTATATAATCTGTATATTCTAACCATTTCAAAGATAATCTACACCACGTTCTCAAAAATAAGACTAACAACTTTTAAACCCGGAAAAATAAGCATCATTAAACTGTTATTGTTTCTTAGAAAATACAATAAAATATACATATACATACGTGACCGCACCTAAGCGACCCGCGGTCAGATGTTAATAGCGTATAATGATTTGTGAGCACGTAAATATATTAACACTAACATTATGAAATGTTATTTATTGTAGTTTAATTTATGGAGTTTCGGTGCATAATTCTTTATTTATTTATTGACTGTTTTGTTTCCTTACTTGGGGTTATTTGAAGTGAGTAAAATAGGGGTTGAATAATGAAATTTTCTAATAGGGTAGTTTCCTAAATTTTATTTGAATGTCCACCTGGTAAATTAATTTAAAACATTTAGATAAGTATTGTTTCATTTCTTACAAAATTTAATACTTTCGACGATATATTACTTTGGAATAACGCATAAAATGTAGCACGTTGTGACGTGCCGACCTCCCACTCAAACTTAATGCCATTTTATCTAAGTATTGGAACTTTATACGACAAAATAAAAAATACGTGTCTAATATTTTTTCATTATCTAACTAACGGACCAATTCTATTTTTAATGTCCATACCCTAACTACCCTATTCTCCTTTGGTATTGTGGGTGGGTGTCCAAAGACGGCGCAGATTCCTTGCTTAGATTTTAGCTGAGCACTGGCCTTTTTGCACCGTGTACATTGTTAAATTAATTTTTTTTTTTGTTTAATTTCTGTAACGGTGCCAATAAACTGATTATCTTACTAATTAATAATATAATTAATAATATAATTACTAATTAATAGTTGGTGAAGATTGAGGGGACATCTATGTCTAGTCGTCATATTTTTACATGAATTCTTACTTTACTTCGTAGGACTACAGAAAAGACATTTGCGTATAACCACTCACTCCTGCATTATAGACCAAAACACTTACGTCACTAAGTTCATAATCCTCTACCTCATCTCTTGCAGATTTCGTGATGGTGATGGTGATCTACGGTTCGCACAAGTTCAAAGTGAACCCTGACAACGTGGCAACACCACTAGCGGCATCTATCGGTGACATCGTGAGCAACACCGTGCTCGCCGTCACCGCCGATTACATGTATCAACAGATACGTAAGTTATTTTCGTAGTTTTCTTTTTAATTTTGTATTGTAAGTCTTAGATTTTGAATAGTAAAACGGCAAACAGAAAGACTACAAGTAATGAGAAATGGATGATTGGATATGTTTATTAACCAAATTATGTCCAAAGGCGTATAGGCTTTTTCCTGTAAAAAGAAGTAGAAAGATCCTTGGAGTGTAAAAGTGGATGAAATCGTGGGTTGCTGTTTTTTTTTTCTGTAGGTTATATATGATTTTAAAAATCCTCTCTCCTCCCTTTAATGTACAATATAGTCCCTTCTACCAAACGAAATGCAAGACTTTACAAGACCGATTTCTAGACATTGCTGTAATTCAATGATAAACATGACAAGACATTTTTTAATTTAATACACTGGAAATTCTTAATACTAATATTAGATATAATACGTAAATCTAATAAATCCGTTAATTTTCAAAACTATAAGGTACTGATAGTGGAAGGAGTGAGAGAGGTGAGTTTAAATTGAAATAAAACATTTGGAGCATGCATCTTTAGAAACTTCTTTAGAAACAACAAATATCTACTAATAAACTAAAATAGAATCTGCGTAGTGAGTGTTTTAATGTGTGTGTGACATCTAATCATTTGCATGCAATATCAAATCCATTTAATTCTGAAAATTACATTTAAATCTAGGAAGTAAATATGGTCCCTAGCTAAGAACAGATAACCAACAAATATTCGGTAATATCAACAGCGGTAATAGTAACTGTTCTTTACTCAGTTCTTTTTTTATATAAAAGGGTTGCCCTACACTAGATTTTTCTCCGGTCTTGTGGGTGCGTTTACAAACATACAAGTTCACATACACAATATACACATCACACCCAGACCCGGATCAACAATCTGTGGATCTGTGGAGTTTTTCATTTCGAGAATCGAACTCGCGACACATTGCGCGGCAGCCAGTTGCTCAGCCACCGCTCTTACCGTGCCGTGAAACCGTGTCACAACCGTGCAGTTGAGGTCTATGAGCCTCCTCTACCAGTCTTTGTCAAATGTGTATCTTACAACACCCGCGCGATGTGCAAAGAACATTATCTCTAGCACTAGCTAGTAAATAAATCAGCATAAATTTGAGATTATCAAATTTCCTGGTCTTTGTGATCAATCAAATGAAATCGATATTTCGAATATTCCCGACCACACTGAACACATGCTAAATTCAAAATAGTCTCAATGCGTCAGCTAATTGACTAGATTCTAATCTACCAATTAATTTATTAATCAGAACACAATTTTATCTAAAACAAATAAAATATTTGATTGGCGTTAGATTGACGTCAGAGAAAAGCTAATCCCATAATCATAGAAAAATATTATTGTAACATTTTGTCATCTTTGTCACTTCTCATGCGTTAGACAAAGCCAGAAGAATGTAGATTATAAAAAGAAATGTATAAAAAATGAAAAGGCTAGGTACAGACGTCACAGAATTTGAGGAGATGGACTAATACTGTGTCTATAAGTAAGAAAACCTGCTTATTAAGTAGATTGTCAATTCATTTACTCAGTACATCGTAATGTGATTTGCTTTTGAAATCGTTCTTGTCTACTTCACACCGAAACTTCGTTCATTAAACAAAACTGCAACTTGGTACAAAATGCAGCCATTTTGGAGTCATTTTAGATAGTAGTTAGCATGATTCTTCTTAGTTTCATGATCATTTAGGAGTCATTTAGGAGTCACTGAGTCACAAAGTTCTATGAATAGTCGTATTTTAATGAGAGCTATCATTTTGGCATTTGGTAGATGGCGCTAATGAAGATTTTGGACTATTTTACCCCGTGACTATTAAACACATAATGTATCTTTTGAATTTTAGATATACTTAGCCCAAACTTAGTTACACAGCCCAAAATCTGGGATTGAATTGAAATATGACTTCCATCTTTTGTAGCTGATGAAAAGTCTGTTGAAAGTTTTTGGTCCTGTCCATTCCGTTGAATAAAGAAAGACCTTTCCACTGAATATTTATCCTTTTTAAGTTCTTTAAAGCGCTACTAGTGTCAAATTTTACGATAGCCCTCGTCCAATTTCTATACATCCAGCTAATTCTTCTCCGTTCTTTTCCAGAAATATCGTTATGGCAGCCAATTGCTTTAATGTGCGTCTACTACAGTCTACTGCCCCTATGGGTCTTCATCGTATGGCGCAACAAGTACACCAAAAAGGTTCTTACCAGTGGATGGACTCCAGTTATCTCTGCACTCTTCATCAGTGGGTATGTATCCTTCGTTGTTACTTCTCATTTCTTTGATTGTTCCTGTAACATGAATTTTATTCCCTACTTCTATGAGGCTAGCTTCTCCTTTGTGGGTGACTGAATTTCTGCAATATCTTCCACATTTTTCTTACTATTTAAAGAAAACTGCGCAGTTATTTCTTGTCCTAATAATCAGATTGCTATTAATGCTTACTTGCTTTAATCTATCCACATTAGTATTGACGTTTTATCGAAAATGACTAGACAAAATAAATAAAATTCCCTTCTAGATTTAGTTTTAATCCTATTTATTAAATCCTCATAACTATCATTATTTTTAAGCATGACTTGCATGATAATAAAATGTTTAGATTGGCAATAAGTAGCAAAACATTATTTATATCATGTTCTTCAAAATAGACCAATTTGCATTTCTTTTCCATCAAAATCTTGAACTGTTGCTTATGCCTACATATTTTTCACTTTCTACAAACCTATTATGGTTATAATATGACCAGATTTCGACATATTATGCCCTAGGCCAATTCTTTATCATCAGACGAAAGATTATCCACTCGCGTTACGGATGGATTTCGCTTAACTCTCTGAAAATTTCAAAGATAGTACAACTTTATATATAAAAAATTGTAAGTACCGAACTTCAACATTCATTTCTTTTTCTTCAGTATCGGAGGTATCGTTTTGGACAAAGCAGTGGACAGCTACCCCGGCTACGAAGTCTTCCAGCCCATTGTCAATGGCATCGGTGGAAACCTGGTCTGCGTACAATCTTCAAGATTGGCCACCCATCTCCATCAGACGGCTATTCCTGGAGAGCTACCTGAAAACACCAGGCTCATTGAATGGCCTTGGAAGACGCTGTTCTATGGAAGTAAGTTGATCATTATTGCTAGCCTTTTTATGATCTTTCTTAGTCTTTTGTAGAAGTAAATAATATACTATTAGTTTATTAATGTATTTTTATAATTTACTCTAGGCTCTCATAATATAATACAAGCATATAATCTTTATACAAGCTTACCATAAATATTTACTTTCTACAATCATTTCTCAGTTATTTGTACATCTAATTTGAAATTAGTGTATTAATTGTGAATTTTTCTTTTTAGCTAAAGCAGCTAAGGTCGCTCGTATGCTGTTGGTCCTCGCATTGTTCGGTCAGATTATCTTCATGGTAGTGGCTGACTTTGTCTACCAAGGCTATGTCACCTTACAAGTGCCCTTCGGAATCACTTACCTCTTGTGCTCATTGTTGCAAGTAAGTACCGTTGAATTTTTTAACCTTCTATAACAAGAAGATAAAATTACCAATTATCTCTGTAGATACTAGGCTGAATGGATCTTAACAGTAGATTATCTTGCTTCCAGGTCATGGTATTGTTGTACCTAGCTTATATGCTAGTCCACCTGATGTGGAAGAAGAAGAAGGATCCCGACAACGCAGCCATCCCCTACCTGACCGCTCTAGGAGATCTCCTAGGATCAGTGTTCCTAGGACTCACCTTCGTGATCCTCTCCATCTTCGGAATGCAATACGGTAACAATGTCCAGTGAATAGGTACGATACACCTAAAGGTATACTACAGGAAGAAGAAATATGGATCTTAGGACCTTACAGTCTCATCTAACGTCAAAAATTATGATCCCCATCATAGTTTTTGATGTTAGTACTATTTAAACAGTCTTGTATTTTTAAACAGGTGATCGGTAAGACTTGTTGCAAGACTTGGATTGTGGATGGAGACGTTCCTTTATGGATCAGTACTGAAACGTTATCTTGATGTTCCTTCTAGCTCTGCAACGTTTAGCATTGCTAGCCAATACGAAGTAATACCAAAGGCAATGGAATCACTCATCGGGGTTTCACAAGCTTTTTATATTTCATCAATTTGCTTTAATATGATTTTATTAATATTCGGTCAGATTAAGATAATAAGGATAGCAATCCTGTCAGTATTGGTATTCATTAAAATTTAATCGAACGTCATGTCAATTGGTGTGCCAATATCGATATGTCGATGAAATCTATAACTTTTTAAACGCGACAGTATTGAAAATTTTCAAAGATTTATCGTTTTTTGAACATTATTTATTGATATTTTGAATGATTCTTGTTGAGGTATCGCTCTTTGTTAGAGTTGACATCCTGAGAGTCAAACTGTGATATAATAAAATGTAAAAATGTGATCGACGCAATTATTTTAAATGTTTTGACATCAATTTATAATGAGAATGAAGGACAATAAATTGAGTGGAAATCGATTAAATTCAACAGCTAAGTAAGGAGTTACCATAATAAATTGACTCTTGGTTTTGGAGTTTTACGTTTTTAACTAATTTTATCATCAGACCTGCTATAGAATTGAGACATTTTTGATTGACCTTGTTGATTGTTTTTATAGTTAATGTTTTAACAGACTTCGGCCAAGAAGTTATTTAAATCATTTGTAATGAAATGGTCGGCAGTGAGGCTCTCGAACTTCAGCCAGGATACAATGTTCCTACACACGTATTCTCTTGTTCGATCTAACTGTTATAGGTGTCATATCCAAAATATAGGTAATTGGCGATACTTAGTTCTAGATACATTTTGTAGATATGTGTGTAAATATTAACTTATAATTGTCACTTCATTGTGATCGTGTACCGTTTTGTTAGGACTTATGTGATATAGACCTATTTTGTACGCTTGGTTTTTCAAAACAGCTTACGTCAGTTCAAAAATCAAGTAAAAAATAGCCTCTTGGATTTCTACGCCATTCACTCCGTTCGTGTGGTCTAAATTTTCGTTGATTAAAATAAAATTTACTGGTCAGGTACCATTTTATAGTATGTGTAAGGTCACTCGATTGTGATGTATCGAGATTCCATTGAGCAATCACTTGCCAATCTCAAGGCGTTGCACGAAAAATCATTGTTGTTGACTTCCCGCCATCTTTGTTTTGTCTCTGCCCACCTTGACAATGAGGTTCATTGCCTTGTGGAATTAAAAAAATTAAATTCTAAATTTGAATTACATTGGGGCCGTAAATACTTTTTTGTGTTCGAAATTCGAAACTTTTTTTTTCTAAATTTCTTTCTGTTCTTTTTTTATATAAAATGTTGATTATAAAACCAAGCGTTAGGATGTAAATTAGTATTTAGTTTAGGAAAGTGAGTACAATAAAGCAATTACGTAGTATTTAAGTTAAGAGGCCTAAACTAATTTATTAAACTGACGTGTATAGTGTATAGATACAGATTGGTAATCAAATGTAAAATAAATATCACCAATTTGGTAGTATTAGACGAGCATTTTGAAGAACTGGAAAAATAGATTAAACTAGGTGTAATGTTCGTTTGTTTGTGTGAGATCTCAGAAACTGAAAAAAGTAATAGTTGGACCTGTTTATTTCTACCTCTGCTGAAAAACACGATACATGTTGTGTATAAAAATGTATGTGTGATACAGAAATAGAAAATTATTTTTGTTAGTAAAGTTTTAACGAAAATGATAAAAAAAATGCCAAATTGTGGAGGTACACTCGACATCATGAGATTGTTGGTGCGACGTAATGGGGGCTACCGTTTTTCTGCTATCCAGATGGCGCTAGTGAGCCCTTTCGTTCTTTGCCCAATAGGGAGTTAGCTAATATCACACCATTGGATCTTTAATGCCTTGTTTGGACTATTTAGTAACTCTCTCTCGCTTCGATATTAGGACAGAAGCGAGAGGGATATACTAAATACTCGCTGCTCGACTAAAATACGAGCATAGTGCGAACAAAGCACAAGCGATTGAACAAACTGACGTCTTGCTAGCTTCTTCTTTTTATTACTAGATGGCGCTCACCTGGTCTATAAAGAACGGTAGCCGCCATTGTAAAAGTTGTTGACTGTATATTAATTGCAGTGCTTCATTGTATATTTAACCAAATATGTACTAAAATATTATTTTATTGGCGTTCAGCATCACGATACTATATTTTAGCTTATTTTTTATAACATTAAATTACGAGATCCCGGACGCCAATTGAATAGAATGTGACCATAATTCAATAACGTTAAGATATATTTTTGAATGAATGATGTGATATAAATGAGATTTTAAATTGTATATAGAGAATTGTTATGTAGTACGTAAATCACTGAGAAAAGCTGTTGTTAGTTTGTTAGACGCTTCCCTTTTGTAAAAGGCTGCACTAGATATCAATTATTAGTGAAAAATTAATAAAATATCAATGATTGGTTGCACAATTTTCTTCAAAAACCCCCCTTTTCTATCTTCTTCAACCTCATTTCCGTCCTATACTAAAAATAATACCTTTTTAAAAAAACAATTCTTCTGAACAACGAAAATGCTTTATTTTTTAATTTATCTGGACATAATCTATTCTATTTTTTTTTATTTAATCTATGTCTTTGTTTTTTTTTAATCTAAATCTTCGTATCATCCCGTTTCCTTTTCGTATTTAAGCGAAAATGACTGAAAACATGAATTGCTGCTATATTGTTCCATGATAGTTATTGATATAAGTATATAATTAATATTGGTGACTAATAATATATTTGTCTATTATTACTATTATTGTATTTGACGGGAGAATAAAGTGCAACCACTTGTTAGTAAGATATAGTTATTAATTAAATATTTTGGTCCGAAAGTGCCATTATGCATCAATGTTATAGATTATGAATATTTTATAACACTATTTACTGATTTATTTTTCATTGTAATTCAAAATATTGAGCCGGTCTTATTATTTGACGTCTACCTAGTGAAAGAAAGGTAATATTATACAAAAAACAAATAACTGATAAATGATATCAATTACTTGTTACTTTAAATTGGTGACTTTATGATAAAAATGTAAATGAATTTGTTAATTTTTGTTTCTTATTTTCAAGTATTGCATGTTACAAATTAACTATTCATTACAATATAAGGTTATTTTAAAATAACAAGAATTTGATATTAATTTTATTAGCTCTATATGTGAAAATATTGACAAATAAATATGTACCAATGTTATATTTTTTGATGCCCACCGATGACCACATACCTACTATTATATGTTACTGTGTCTAAATTAATTAAAAATCGCGGGTTACTCACGTGAATATACTGGAAAAAGCTCTACTAGTTTCGAACCACAGAGGGATTCTTCCTCATGAGCAGCGTGCGCGGTCGCGGCGATGTCGCGCAACCTACTTTGAGGTGTTTGTGGTTCGAAACTAGTAGAGCTTTTCTCAGTATATTCACGTGAGTAACCCGTGAGTTTTAGTTAATTTAATATGTCTCACGATAATTATTATAAAAACTACTATGTCTATCTTAAAAAGAATTTTATACATTTTTTCTTTCAATTATTTCTGAACCTTTTACTATTTTTTTCACCTTCCTAAACATGTATTATTGTATTTTTCAAAATGTTTAAACCTTTCCCTATTTATTTCACCTAACTGTACACTTCCAATGAAATTTTATTGATTATAGCCATTCTGTCATTATAGAAAGAATAAATAATTGTCCTCTAATACGTCAGTAGTTTTTACATGTAGTTAAAAATACGTAAATAGTGTTATAAATAAATAATTAACACATTGATATTATGTACATTCCATTTACACAGCTTTTTAAACGACAACCATGTGGTTTATGAAATGTAATTATTTTAAGTTTTATACCATCAATGTATTCCTATTGTGATGTCCAAATAGTGTAATGTAATTTTTATTTCAAAATAAAATGAATTAACTAAACATTTTGTTTCTTTTATGTCTTCACTCCCAAATCAAGCAAAAGTATTTAGGTGATAAATATAATTGGCTGCCTGGTTTGGCAAATGCCCCAAATTGCTAATGGCGAGTACGAGCACTTTGAAATGAAATGGCACTTTTGAACGTCAATAAAAAAATTAAAAGTGAAGCTATTTGCTCATTCAGAGGTATAAGTTTCTATGGAGAAGAACGAGCAAGAAACTCCTTAGGTTACTAAATTTCAATCAGTTTCACAATACAATTCCCTAGTTACATAGTTTTGTGGGTTCCAGTTGTATGAAACAATGTAACACCATAATCCAGTCAAAGAGATCGAAAAAGAAAATAATCCTAAGAACAATAAAATCACACAGTCTAGAGCTGACCAGTCCCAGTTGACGGCGCACGTTCACGAACATGACACGTATACCAGATTACCAGCACCACCCAACTCGACTATATTGTAGGGGAACGAGCAATCCACTGCACGCGCCACCGCTAATGAGACCTTTGAGTGAGCATGACAACTCCAGGCCCAAACAAATGCATTTTACTAATTTAACTATAGTTAATTACAGGGCTCTCACATTCAATAATTGTGCAAAGTTTAACAATATACATAACAATAAACAAAATGGGTGTATTATTAAATGTTTGGAATTTATTGAAACATCATGTTTTTCGTTATCCTGTGGAGCTGGACCAACCTGCATACAAGCATTTTTGTCTTTTAAATAATCATTTTTAATTTGTAATAGATATGCTTATCCACATAAAGTTTTTTTATACATAATTAAAATTTTGTTTCATTCAGATGTTGTATTTCGCCAGGAATTTTGTTATAGCATTTAACACAGAATCCCATGAACGACTTAACTACTTACTTTTGCCAATCTAGATAATGGCCGACTTAATCTATGTGTCTTGTTTGATAGTGGTGTCTGTCCGACACTTTACTAAACAACTGTAGGTTTTTCCTAACGTTACATAATGTTCTTATAAATAAACAGACATAGAACGGTCATAATATTGATCTCCCTTAACTTTTCTTTGAGAAATTCACGACGACCTACATTGTAGATCGCTCTGACGGCGCGTTTTTGTAAAATAAAGATCGACTCAATGTCTGCAGCGAGTCCCTCCAGCAAAATGCCAAGCAATACGACATGATGCTATGACCGTCACTGAAGTACACTAATCTTGCCGTGCCTATGTTGGTGTCAGATCGTATCAGATTTTCCAAACAGCTTAAGCCGCAGATCGTCCCGCTAGATATGGGGACCCCATTGCAATTTGTCGTTTACATAATTATAATCTCAGGAAAGTAGCTTCTTTTAAAAATTCTAATTACTCAATATTTAATAGTAGGTCAATTTCGTTAGTCCTCACGTTTGGCAAAACAAATCTAATGCATTGAGAATGGGCTCGCTGCCATTGCAGCGGTAAGACCCCTCTTTGAGGAGTGGCTTGAGAGACGCTACGGCGTCCTCACCTACCGCCTGACGCAGGTCCTCACCGGACACGGAAGTTTCGGGAGGTACCTGTGTCTGATGGGGCGGGAGGAAACGCCCGGGTGTCATCACTGCGAGGACCGCCCTGAGGACACGGTGGAACACACAGTGGGAGAATGCCCTGCGTGGGCTGAGCACCGCCGTGCGGCGTGCCCTCAGGGGAGTGATCGGCGATGGCGACCTCTCGCGTCCGGGCCTAGTGCAGGCCATGATGCGGAGCGAGGGGGACTGGGATGCCGTCTCCTCCTTTTGCGAAGCAGTCATGCTAGCTAAGGAGGAGGCGGGGCGCGTGAGGCAGCGAAGCGCTGCCTCCTCGCAACCCAGCCATCGCGAAGGACACACCGGGCGTCGGGGATCGCGGGACGATCTCCGGCCACCGTAAGCGCGGGCCTGCGGACGGCGAGCATGGGTGGCTCCCCGTCCGACCAGAAACAGACCCGAGCGTACGGCGCGTCGCGTTCCGCGCGCGCCTCAAAGAGCCATCAGACCACCACAGATGGGGCCCAATAGGGCCGATGCCGATTCGGAGTCGCGGAGAACCTAACGGGTAACCGGGGCTCCGGCTCGACGTGCAGGAGAAGGAACGGGGTGGTTTTTAGTCAGTAAGAGTCTGACACTCCCTTCCGCCTCACCCAGGCGGGAGCAGTCATTCGATGATTTTCCCCCCTTAAAGAAAAAAAAAAATGCATTGAGAAAGCTATATTAATTGCTGATTGATGGGCAGGGTGGAAAATGGAAATTTTTTGATATGTCAAACACACTTTCACAAAACCTATGAAATATTCTGAGATTACCAATTCTCGGTGAGTCATACGAATCAAAATTGAATTGTCAAGATACGAATGGTTACTGATATCAAGCTTGAGACTCGAATTGACCGAGTGACCATAAGTGCGACCACTTAGCATCTGAGCAAGGTGCTCTGGGTTTGATTGCTCGTCGGCGATTTTGGGTTTTCGCTATTTCGAAAATTTCTCTCTAATAGTACGTAATCTGGATCTAGCTCGGTTTATGGTAATAGGCTGCTCTGTCACCCCTATTGCGTGAGATGGGACTCGTAACATAACTGGTAATAGTTTCTGATTTCGATTCCAAATTCCAACTAAGAAAAATGATTTGATTAGTGTGAATTTTGAAAATTTTCACTAATCCTATAATTTACGAAAGTATTTAGAACCCACATATTATCTGATGTTGATGATTCTAGTGAATTTCATAACTATTTCCTTCAATAGATATTTGGATTAATCAAAGACAACGAGAATTCTTTGACGTGGATTCTGTTATAGTCAATTAAATTTCAAATTTTAATACAATGCTATCTACTTGCTCAAATAGGAGATAATAAATAAAACAATTTAATATAGTCATAGATTTTTATTTTTATCAGTACATTATGGCATTTATAGCATTAAGTTAACATACAATGTTCATTCAAAAATTATGCTAATGTTCCTGTAGGATTTTCGAGAAATCCTTGGATTAAAAGTATCCTTTGTTCATGTCCTGGTTCTACGGTACCTTTTTATCGGGATAAACGAGCAGACCAATCACCTGGGGGGAAAGCAATTGGCGTCGCCCTTGGACACCCGAAACAGGAACACCAGAGGTGATACAAGTGCGTTACCGGCCTTTTGCGGATTAGGAATTTGAGGATTGTTGGAGATTCAGGGATTGAAGAGATTGGGGAGGGGGCAAATGCGCCCCTGGTAACCTCTCACACGACGAAACACAACGCAACTTCGTTGTTTCTCATCGGTGTTGTATGAGGTCATGGTATCACTCCTGTCGTGCCGGCCCATTCGTACCGAAGCATGACTTTCCTCCGCTTAAACCAAAGCCAGCCATATGGCTTTAGGGTCGGTATTTCTAACATCAACTTTATAAATGTATGTACAGCTCCATCTATCGTATTATCTAGAAAATTATTGTTTAAAGAAAAGTCCGCTAGATGGCAGGAACTGTCGAAGCGGTAAAAAAATTAAATGGCTTTCTCGATGACGTCATGATATTTGTTTCAACTTATTAGCTGTAGATGGCACTACCTCACCTTTATTAACAAGAAGTGATAATAAATGGTGCCAAAGAGACCACAAATATGTCATGTTTTATTTGAAGTACCTACTCGTGTGGTCGTATGAAGTAAACAGAGTGTAGGTAACTGCATTCAGATAACCAAATTATGTCAGTCGGATTTCTTAAAAATATTTACTTTACCCATACACTTATGATTACAAAATATAATTTTATTCTGAAATAAAAAATATACCCTGAATGTTTCGTCCACATAATTAATCCGCCGTCTCTCATAAACAACGTGAAAGTAATATCATTTGACTCTCATATCTTTTGTTCACTATAAACACTCGTATATCTTATTATTCTCGAGTACCTAGTAACGGAGACTACATGTATCTCATTTTATTTTCGTTGAGAGAGCGAGACAGGCATACAACTACTATTCATAATGTCAAACGTCATTGCAAACTGAAAGGCAAACAAAAGATCAACGCGGACGAGAGCTTTTACGAACAGTACCCATTTCCACCGCCAGAGGCGCCACAATACCGCTAAAATACAACGAAACATGATAAATAGCTTCACGTTTGAAAAACGAAAACATATTTATTAGACGAAACACATTTAATACTTCCAATAAATCATGGCAGTGGAACAAACGGAAGTTTTGTAGGTTACATTATGCCAGAGCTTTCAATGCCGTCGTCCTGCCCGCCCAGCCCATCGATTTCCAGCGAACAAATTAAGTAGCGGGTAAGCTGGGAGCCTAGCTTCGGGTATTTAGTATGTTGCTTGAATATGGCATAGTTGTGGTAAGAGAAATATGCGATAGTATTAGAAAATGGACGCGGTACACCTGTTCTGGATCGCGCGGTGGACGCGGCGCGCGCCCGAAAGCTATTGCGATCGTTATGCGAGGCAGCGGGCAGCGCGCGTGCGCGCGGCCGGCCACCCGGAGCCCGTCAGTCGGCCGCGAGCATCGGGCCCCGACATACCTTGCCCAAAAATCCGCCGCCTAAAGGTACCCACCACACCCGTACTATTTTAAAACCGTTCGAGACATCGCGCATGCGAATATCGATCCGCCTCACTCGGAATGGTCCCCGTATCTAGGTTAACCGGCTAAAATTAAAGGTGCGTTCCGAATTCAAGGTTGTAACCGCCGGCGCAGCTCCGAAATAGAGCTATCGTGCATGGAAAATGGAAAATATGTACCCAACGCACGTTGTCTTTAAGGGCGATTATCGTGTGCGTCACAGGCCGTAATGGCGGTCGGGAATTATGTAAGAATCGTACGTTGTTGTTTGAAAAAAAAATGAAATTCGTATGTGTAAGTGTAGGCTGAGGTCCTCTGTCGATACGTCCGTCGATGTTGAATCGATAGAGTAGCGTGTAACCGTGGTATACCGCGAGTGTCGTTGTTGTTAGCGCGGAACCTTTGCTTTCTGTCAATGTAACGTTTTGGGAGTGTCTCAGGATGAGCAGTAAGTACACGCGTGTAGAGTGAGTGTTCCTACGTGAGAGATAAATATAAATCGAGCGGCACCGCCGACTGCTCAAACATCATGTTTCGCTCGAGAGCATGTTACATCAATTTCTGTGGACGCCACTCGCTTGTGGCAACGCTTGTCCGCAAGCTTTCATTATATAAAATGACTGAAGGATACAATACACGCTGTTATGGCACCATCGAGCCTTTACAAGGCCCTAAATTAACCTGATTTATGGTGGTCATAAAACCCTGAAGTTAACCTAATTTCCACACATTAGCTGTTCTTAGTATCTCGTGTTAGTGTACCAGTTATTGTAGTAGTGACTTGATATACAGATAATCAGCATGCGATACATCGAAAGTATTGATTAGCACCACATTTTCATTTCAGTGTTTCAGGATTTTCATTCATATTTGTGTAGTTTTCATCAATAAACGTCATTCTTATTCATATACAGATACCAAGCTTGCCATTTTACAGTAAATAAATAGTGCATTTACATAAAACTAGTTTTTTTTTCTCACTACTAACCTAGAAATTCCTATCGAGTATTTCCGCTCTCGTCCGATAGATGTCGCTAGACGTCGCTATATCGACTTTTCCGGGGGAATGCAAATAAATATTCTTGGTTTAATCAAGTCGGACATTATTGCTTGAAAGAATGTTTATTAATGAAAACTATTAACGTACCCATAGATGTGCCAACATGTTTAATGATTGTATTTCTACTGAAGTAATTACAATCTTGATTAATATCTTGCTAATGTTGAGACATATTTCAATTAACTATTGTTGTGAGTCACTTCTTTAATTTAATGTTAATAATTTTTCTTTTTCTCACAAACACAACTTCTTCCTTATTGTGTTATTCATCAATATTTGCACTAGGTAGGGACATTTCCTTTTTATCATTAATCACATTTCAGTTTTCTTCCATATTCACATTTATTTTAATACTGACACACATAAATATAGTTCTTATCCTTACAACCAACTTGCTACTCCTTCTTATACCGATTGCCATCCTTCCTTCCTGGAAAATTTGTTAAAACATCATCAACATCACAATATCTTAGTACTAGGCCAACATTATATAAAATCTATATATGTCCTATTCATAAGGTATTATGAATTTAAAAACAATTTCATGATCAATTATATCAGCTACAGGACGTCCACTGCTGAACATAGGCCTATCCTAATGACTTCCAGATAGGCCAGTTAGAAGCGATAAACAATTTACATAGAACTTAAACCTTAATCTGATCCAAACATATTTCATATCACAAATATAGCAATATTTAGAAATCAGCATATATAAAAAAAGTCACGATTACATATCCCAATAAACATATATATAATCCTCATTATAATTCACTTACATTCATTCTTTCCAATTATTTGAAGCAGCACAACGTGTCATCTTCAACTCTTACTCTTTACTTATCATTTCCGCATTTTTCTCCTTATTTCACCCCCATTTACTGTAAATACCATTCAGCCATCTCTTCTTCAATTCTTTATAAATCTGTAAATGAAATATTATTCATTATACCATTGACACCTTTTACCATAAAACAATCAATTTTATGTCTTGTAAATTTGAAGTCATAATGTCGATTACTAAAATATTAATTACCTCTAAAAATAACACAAGTACTGCTTAGTTTTTACCATGAAAAAGGCTACATTTCCATCATTTAGGTAGGTACCCTTGAAATTTACCAACTAAAATCCAATCATTTCGTATACATCAACAGCCCATAAGTACCCTGAGGAAAGCCTCTTTTCACACGGACAAGGTTTGAGCATTAATCACCACGCTTGCTCAATGCGGGTTGGCGATTTCAAACTTATAATTAGATATTATAAGCCCAGGCTTCCTCACGATGTTTTCCTTGACCGTATTTCGTATATATCATCAGAAAACATGTAAAAATACTGTCCATAAACTATCACTCATTTTTAAACATACTATACTTCCTATCACTCTATCGCTATCCTAAAACAAGTCTTCAAATAAGTCATCTTCAAAGACTAAAAATGTCTTATAGGTCTGATATCTGCAGCTCAATCTAAAACACTGACATTCAGACATCTAGGTTTCCTAGAAAGCTATTCCTAGATGACGTAACCACTTCAGAACACTATGAGTCATGTTGACCCCTTTTATGGCCCATTGAAATACATTAAATCGACTATGTGCTACTTACGATTTGATTTGTATTGTTATATGAAAATCTCATTTGTTTTATGGAGAAATTGAATATGAATTTGTATCATCTGAAGTAATCTATTTGTATGCTTGCATCATTTTTATAACTAACACTATGCACATTTTTATGATTAATAAATTCATAACTATGTATTTAAGAGGACTGAACCAGACTGGAGGCCCAACTACCCCCACCCCCTTCCTCAATCTTACCAATCCCTGATTTCCCAACATTCCTCAAATGTATAATTTCCAAAAGGCCGGTAACGCACTTGTAACGCCTCTGGTGGTCTAGGTGTCATGGGCGACGCCGATTGCTTACCATTAGATGAACCGTCTGATAGTTTATCGGCTTTTCCCTTAAAAAAATTGTAACATAGATCAGCTGTCAACTATCCAAAAAAGGAAGCGCTTTGGAGCATAAGGCCCTATTTAAAAGCGATATCTGTAACAAAATATCTTAAATTAGACTAGAAAAAAAGCACGCATACGTCTTAACCCTTTGAGTACCGTCATTATAGACAAAATTAAAGAACAATAGGTTGCGGTCACCGGTGTCCTCGCGGTGTTTAACAGTTTAACTATACTAAGCTTTCTCTACGACAGAGTGTACGAGTATGTATTGTAATAGTATTCTTTTCTACCCATTTTTTCTTTGATCGTCATCTACCCTCTACTTTTCCTTACAATATTAACCACTCTGCCACTTGGTTTTCAACCCTTCTCATGACAAGTCCATACCAAGACAAGTGCCAACCATTCTGTTTTACTGTAACGGGCACAATTTTAGTTTTGACTTTGTCTATTCTATTATATCTATTATAATCTATAAGCTTAAAAATTGGTCATTACATCCAGAATCTTAATTTTTTTAAGTTATATTTTCTACTTATCAATCAAGTGGTTCCTAAGCTTTTTTTTTACAAAAAAGTCCTTAGACCTAAAAAGATTAGCTATGCAAACCCAGCTCAATAAATTAATTTAGCTTAGCCGCTAGTCTGTTCACAAAACTTTAGTGTGACATGTCTAGGCTTTCCTAAGTTTCTTCCATATATACTTAGTTAACTTCACAATTAGCCTCATTACGGTACAAACTTAGTTTTAAACTTGTGAAAGTTAAAAAGTAAAGTTAGTTGGTTTATTAAACTATCGTTTTTCTTTTTAAATCAATTATCTCATTCAGTCTTTCTTACGTTTATTTAATAAGGATTTTAGAATTATTTGAGGGTGTATATTTTATTTTAATTTGATAGTACCGGGCGATAGATGGCGCTCTATCTATAATTTCGACTATTTGCGTAGTTTTATAAAAATCTGTTTTGTTCTGCATTGAAAGGTTCTTCAGATTTCAGCAAACAATAGTTTTAACTACATATTACATGACATATGCTTAGTTTTCTTTATTTTAATAATAATGTTAAGAATCAGCTTATTTTACTATTTTTCAATAATAAAAATGTCTCTGTCTAACGCTTAAGGACAATAAGGCGCGTAAGTATATTTATGCTGTCACAATAGTTATTACACCGGCCCCAATTATTTTGAATTGACATCAACCTGCCCTTCCTGGTCTCACAATCATTTTCTATGTCCTTTTACCAAAACTATGTTGTTTGTTATTTGAAGGTCGAAAATCGACTATACTTTCCTAATTCTATTGTTTGACATTTCTTTAGATAGCAATTCTTACATTTTATAACTGTACAACCTACTAAGATTATAAAAAGAAAGATTTGATCGTTTGTAAATGTAAGGATAGTATATACAGGAAAGGTTTTCCAAAAATAGGTAGGTATTCTAAGTTTGTTCGTTAGTCCTGCTACAGTCTATGAATACCTAGTCAACCAAACAAATGAATGATTAACCAGTCTATTAATAGTTATATATGCCTAAACACTTAACCAAGAAATGAAATCAACCGACACTCTAAAAACAATAATATTTTACTCGATCAGGGTGCTTACTCTTAAAACCAATCTCAATGTCAATACAATTTAAATCCAAATAAAAACTCAATAATTATTCAATGTCAAAATAGTACAACCCTTATCGTACCTGTTAAAATAGCATTCAGAGTACGGAATATAAAGCCAAACTCAATCCCATTTAGTTCATTCAATATCCACGCAATACGGATACAATGGGCGCTAGTGTTGCAAGTTAAGAGTACAATATTTCACAATAACAATGTCGATCGATCGGAATTGGTTTCCAGAGTAAGCACCCAGATCCGATTAAACGAGCGAAAAATTACAGCTAATTTGAGGATGAAAGTACACCAAAATGACCTATGTAGGTGTGTATTTATTCTACAACTGTAATTATTTATACTCGTTTTACCAACAACACTCTAACACATAAGCCCCAAATCAATGAATTCACTTTAACCTTGAAATAATTAATTAAATATTTTAAAAAAACTTTGCCCCACACTAGGATTTCTCCTGTGTCCTGGGTGCGTTTACAAACATACAAGTTCACATACACATGACCCTCAGACCCGGAACAACAATCTGTAGATCACACAAAGAATTATTCCGTGCGGGAATCGAACCCGCGACACATTACACGGCAGCCAGTTGCCCAACACGGCGCCAACGGTGCAGTCATAAATATATCTTTCGTAAATTAATTGTAATTTTTACGGTCAACCCAAACCTGTGTGCTTAGGATGAACACACGTTGCCAGTTTACATAGTGTCGATATCGCAAAAATCTTCTTATGAAACACACCTAAAGCTTTTTTTATTATGTACGTCATATCTGTCTATTTATT